TAACAGACATTTGCATTCGTTTTCCGTGTCATTGGGATCTGAGAGATCTCAATGGTTGGCTTGAAAGTGGACTCGAAAGCGGTTTGTAATTTGTTTAAAAAATCATACCGGGACCTCCGTCAGCTTAACCGATGGTGGAGTTGGACAAGCTGTGGACCCTTAAGGACTGAATAATGACAAGTCCCAGCAAGGTCACGCTAGGCTTTGTAGGTCCTGTCCCCCCCCCCCCCCCACCCCCCCCCCCCCTGACCCCCCCCCCCCCCCCCAATAAGGTCGTCCTACTGGGACATTCAAATATTTAGATACAAAGACGATGCTACTTTACTCTCCCTTCTAAGGTCGATCGCTAACAACCTAGGACAGGCCTTCTCAACCAGGGTTCCACTCAACTCTAGGGTTTCCTCCAGAGGTTGCCAGGGGTTCCTTGAGCAATGATTAATTTCTGACTCTCAGATAAGTAAACCACCTATCTGTGAGGTGGAATTCTTCCCGTGTGACCACCATTTTCTAAGGGGCAGTCTTCCCCCCGACACCCTTCTAAGGGGCAGTCTTCCCCCCCGACCACCAGTCTAAGGGGCAGTCTTCCCCCGGCCACCCTTCTAAGGGGCAGTCTTCCCCCCGGCCACCCTTCTAAGGGGCAGTCTTCCCCCCGGCCACCCTTCTAAGGGGCAGTCTTCCCCCGGCCACCCTTCTAAGGGGCAGTCTTCCCCCCGGCCACCTTCTAAGGGGCAGTCTTCCCCCGGCCACCCTCTAAGGGGCAGTCTTCCCCCGGCCACCCTTCTAAGGGGCAGTCTTCCCCCCGGGCCACCCTTCTAAGGGGGCAGTCTTCCCCCGGCCACCCTTCTAAGGGGCAGTCTTCCCCCGGCCACCTTCTAAGGGGCAGTCTTCCCCCGACCACCAGTCTAAGGGGCATTCCTCCCACTGACCACCATTCTAAGGGGCATTCCTCCCACTGACCACCATTCTAAGGGGCATTCCTCCCACTGACCACCATTCTAAGGGGCATTCCTCCCACTGACCACCATTCTAAGGGGCATTCCTCCCACTGACCACCATTCTAAGGGGCATTCACTCCCATTGACCACCAATCTAAGGGGCATTCCTCCCACTGACCACCAATCTAAGGGGCATTCCTCTCACTGACCACCAATGTAAGGGGCATTCCTCCCACTGACCACCAATGTAAGGGGCATTCTTCCCACTGACCCTCACACTAATGTACTGTGAGCTTTAGATATAGCAGTTATTAGCAGGGGTTCCCTGAGCATGGGGAAAATGAGTTCAAAGGATCTTCCATGTAAAAAAGGGTTGAGAAAGGCAGGTCTAGGATGATGAATTCAATGACGACCCAAAATACTCCATTATGGATGGACTCTAATGGACAGACCCAGCTACTGGCTCCTCTTAGACATTGCCCCATCATTCCCAGCTTCCATTTGAAGTCTCACTCCTCCTGCTGCATTCAAGGTGTGTAATAAATGAAAAAAGCCTTGGAGAAAATGAAAATGGCCCTCGCATTTGTAGGATGTCGAGAGCAGGGATTCCAGAAAGACAACGGGGATCTAGCCCACCCAGCCTCTGCTGATCTAGGAAGACGGGCAGATCCATCAGGCTTGATAAAGGCTTGGCCATTCTGTTACTTCCATCCAATATACAGCTACAGTTCCCAGGATGCTGGAACTTGTAGTTCCTCAGGAGGCTAATGGAATATGGTGTGATATGAGATACCCCTGCAGCAGCTGGCTTTGCTGAGCGAGCCTCATGATGCGCCCCAATCTGCCAACATAGACATGTTACTCTAACAGATAGGCTAACCTGTGAGGTTTGGTAAGGCTTGGCCATCTGTTATTACCCAGCTAATAAAGATCTACAGCCCCTGGAATGCTGGAACTTGTAGTTCCTCAGGAGGCTAATGGAACATGGCGTGATGAGATGTCCCCAGCAGCTGGCTTTGCCGGAGCGAGCTTCATGATGCTCCCCAATCTGCCAACATAGACCTTGTTACTCGAAGATGGGCTAACCTGTGAGATTTGGTAAGGATTGGCCATCTGTTATTACCCATCTGATAAGGATCTACAGCCCCTGGAATGCTGGAACTTGTAGTTCCTCGGCAGGTAAATGAAGCGCAGTGTGATATGAGATACCCCTGCAGCAGCTGGCTTTGCCGAGCGAGCCTCATCACGCGCCCCCAATCTGCCAACATAGACATGTTACTCTAAGATGGGCTGACCTGTGAGGTTTTGGTAAGGCTTGGCCATCGGTTATTACCCCATTCTGATAAGGATCTACAGCCCCTGGAATGCTGGAACTTGTAGTCCCTCAGGAGGCAAATGAAGCGCTTTGTGTTAGGAGATACCCCTGCAGCAGTTGGCTTTGCCGAGCGAGCCTCATCATGCGCCCCAGACACCCTCGAAGACCTTGCCAGGACAGGACTCCTCTCACCATCTGGACGATGTCTGGAGTGCCTCTTCCCACTCCGCGTAGACGCGACGTTCCCACTCAGCAAAACACAACACCCGAGAGCGCATATTGCTGCAGTCGCCAACGCAAGGCACCCACACCGACCATTTAAACCGATATTAAGCTTGATTTACGATCCTTTCCTCTTATTAAATCTTCAAAACATAACAATACGCTCTTCACACAAAATAAAAAAACACACAAATACAAATCTTCTAATAAAAAGAAGAAAACAATAATAAGCAAAGTCGCCGCAGCTTAGAATCCAGCCCAATCGGTGCGCAATTAACCAGTTGCTAGGGGTAACCCCACTTTACCGCCCCCACTTTCCTGAGTAAGGCTCTCCGAGCGTCATTTTAAGGCGATCGACACCGCCGTTTTGAATAATACGCGCAAAAACAAAATCACGATTCTGCCCGACGCGCCGGGTGAGTCAGCTTGGGTTAATCCCTTTCCGTTGCCACCCCAGCACACAAAGGGTTGGGGAAAGGGAATGTGCAGCAGGCAGGGGGGGGGACTGCAGCCCTAAAGGGACACCCATATAGCCCTAGTGACACAGTGGGAGGAGCAGAGAGGAAAGCCCGGGTGGGAGGAGCTAGCGGTGACTGACTGTTAACCCTTAAAAAGCCATGAGCAAGGGTTTTTTTTTTTTTTTTTTTTTTGCACAGCACTGTAAAGGCTGAGGGTGGGGGGGAAGGGGTGAACGATCTGCACCCTGCATGGTAAAGCGACACCCAGGGGATTAACGGGGCGATCGGCAACGGATTGCAAAATCGTAATAAAGGATTTTATAGTCGTCGGGTTTTATATAGAAGACTTTAGAAGAGGGGGAACCCATGGATCCCCGAGTCTAGGACACTATGTAACAGGGGATCGCGGGATGATCGGAGAGGGATCGCAACATTGTAACAAGATGTTTATATAGTTCGAATCCCTTTACGTGTCCCATCCACTGCGGAGCCCCCCCGCGTCTCGGTCACTATGTAACAATCACCCACAGACAGGGGGATCAAACCCCCCCCCCCCCCCCCAACCGATACAATGCATCTAGAACTCTCCTCCTCCCGACACAAAATAACCGTCTCAATGTTGGACTGTAGCTATGTAGCTAGTTACAATTTGGGGGGGGGGGGGGGGGTCCATCCGCTTTATAAGGCATACGCTCGCTCCTCACTTTAGTGGGGGGGTCTAGCAGAGCGGGTCGGTGCGATCACAGCAGGATATGCCCCCCACCACAAGACATTGGGGGGGGGGGGGTTCCGATCTCACAGCCGACTGTCGGTATACTTGTTGGCGGATCGCAAAAAAAGAAAGCTTGGCTGGCGAAGATCAGGACCTGGGAGGGCTGTGCGGGGCAGGGGGGGCTAACCCCTAGTGCCACACTCTGCTCAAGGTGGCCAAGATTACCGAACCCCCCCCCCCCCCCAAAAAAAAAAAAGTGATCGGCACCCAGGATCTGTCCCCCCCCCCAATCACCACCACCAGCAACCACAAACAAAGCCAAATCTATTAGCAATACTAAAGGGAGTGGGTGTAGTCTGAGCTGCATGCCCCATCCACCAGCAAATCTCCATAAGCTTGGGTTGATGATTTCGGCAATTGGGGGGGGGGGGGGCTGAATTAGAAATGCCCTGTTACGTTTTGGGGTTCACACTGGTCATCATCCAAGATCAGCACCCTGGACCTCACTCCTGGACCTCAAACTTCAGGGTGGTCAGCAGACTCTGGGGGACCATTCTATAACCCCCCCTCCCCCCCATCTAATCAAGATTTTCAAAGACAACCAGATTTTCCAGCAGCTGGTTGGAGCAAGACATTATAAAGATAAAGTGGGGCAATCCAGATGGGGGTCTCTCCCTCCCCCCCCAAATTTCAGCGGGGTACTGATCACAACATTACGTATATTGGGGAGCTTTATAGTATTAGAGGGGTGCATTCCTGAGCACTGAGCCCCCCCCTTTTTTTTTTACCACCCCCTCAGCAAGCCCTGATCACAACAGACCTCAATCAAGTTCAGCCTTTAATATCCACCCAATGTGGGGGTGAAGTGGGGGAATTTGCCACCTGCCCCCCAAAAACCCAAGGAGCAGGTCACGCCTCGGAGTCCTGAGCCTGGACTGGATTCAAGATGGTGATCTGTTGTGTGCGGATCGAGCTGCCAGGCACATACCTGGAGAGCACAATCCTCAGACAATAAAAATGCCTCCAAAGCTCCAGCTAAAGGGGGGGGGTTGTGGAGGGGGGCAGAGGAATTGGGGGGGCACCAGCACCTGCCCCGGGGGAAGGGGGGGGGCACCAGATCTGCCACCAAATTTACTTTTTTTGTGTGCAAGGACAAGATGGGCGTAAGTTGTAATGAGAGATGGGTCAGCCAGAGAGGGCTGATGTGTTTAGGCAGCCCAGCCATGGGGGAGAAGACAAGAAATGCCCAGATCACGGGGTGGGGGGGGGGGGGGGTACACAGAGCACATGCTAGATGAGGTGGGGGGGGGGGTAGGTAGGTAGGAAAGCATGCAGATCAATAAAAGAAATCAACTTACCTCTGAATCAAAAGTTGAGGTTGATGCGGTATCCATGAGTGTAGGTGGGGGGGATGAAGATCTTGGGGGGGCTCAGAGATCCAGGGGAGGTGGATTAAAGGGGAGGGACCCCTCTTTGTAAAATGAAGCTTGGTTGGGGGTATCCAGAAAAGCTGGTTGGTTTGGATTGATCACTCCTTGATCTCTGTGGTTCAGTCTTCTTCTGAAGGCTCCTGAAGAGGGAAGTGGGGGAGGTCAGGAGGCTGTTGGGCACCCCAACATGGGAAAGGGGGGGCCGAGAGATCCACTACAGCAGATGATCCAGTCCGTGTGGATGCCACTTCTCAAACTATGAAGGAAGGGGGTGCTGTCCTCCTGGAGGGGGTCCTGAGTGGGGTTAGCACAGACCCTAGAGAGGAGGGGTGTTGATCTGACGAAGCTTGGGTGGACTTTAGGGTGATCCTTCTTCAAGTTTCAGGGTGCAGTCCTCTTGGAAGGAGGTCCGGAGATGGGGGAGGGGGTTGATAAGGCAAAAGGAGTGCTGCCGAGTCCTAGGAGGGAGGGTGGTTAGGTGGGGGGAGGTGATCCAGGACCAGCGGTGATCCAATGAAGGTGGATGGAGCTTTGGGGAGACCCCTTCTTGAATTTTGGGGTGTAAAGGAGGTCCAGAGGTGGAGGGGGGCAGCCCAGGAGATCTGCTGGTTCTTGGGAGGGAGGGTGATCCGATGGGGGAGGTGATCCAGTCCCTGGGGTGATCTGGTGAAGGTGGATGGGTTTTGGGGTGACTCCTCGAGTTTTAGGGTGCAGTCCTCCTAGAAGAAGGTCCAGAAGGGAGGGGAGGAAGAAGAGACAGCGCAGGGCAGCCTGGGGACTGCTGCTGGATTCTGAAAGGGAGATGATCCAGTACCAGTGGTGATCCAACGAAGGTCGGTGATCGAATGAAGGTGGATGGGCTTCGGATTGACCCCTCCTCAAGCTTTTCGAAGGAAGTCCGGGAGGGGATGGGGGTAGGGAGGGGGGCAGCCCAGGAGATCTGCTGGATCCTGGAAGGGAGGGTGAGGGGAAGGTCTGGTGGTGGGAGGTGATCCAGTCCCAGCAGTGATCCGATGAAGGTGGACAAGCTTTTGTGTGACCCCCTTCCTCAGTTCTGGGGTGCAGTCCTCATGGAAGAAGGTCCTGAGGGGAGGGGAAGATAGCAAGGGGTGGTCCAGGAGATCTGTTGGATCCTGGAAGGGGTGGTGAGGCAAAGGTCTGGTGGGGGGGAGGTGATCCAGCACCAGCAGTGATCTGGTGAGAGTGGATTGGTTCTGAGGTGACCCCCTCCTTGGGTTTTGGGGGTGCAGTCCTCTTTGTAGGAGGGGGAGGGGGGTAGTCCAGGAGTGCTGTTGGATCCTGGAAGGGAGGGTGAGGCAAAGGTCTGGAGGGGGAGGTGATCCAGCACCAGCAGTGATCCGGTGAGGGTGGATGGGTTTTGAGGTGACCCCTCCTTGGCTTTTCAGGGTGCAATCTTCTTTGTAGGAGGTCCAGAGGGGGAGGGGGGGTGGCCCAGGAGTGCTGTTGGATCCTGGAAGGGAGGGTGAGGTGACAGTGGGGGGAGGTGATCCAGCACCAGCAGTGATCCGGTGAGGGTGGATGGGTTTTGAGGTGACCCCTCCTTGGGTTTTGGGGTGCAGTGCTCTTTGTAGATCCAGAGGGGGAGGGGGCAGCCCAGGGGTGCTGTTGGATCCTGGAAGGGAGGTGATCCAAGACCGATGGTGATCCAATGGAGGTGGATGAGCTTTGGGATGACCCTTCAAGTTTTGGGGTGCATTCCTCTTTGAGCGGGGGGGGGGCAGTAAGAAGGAGCCCAGGAGATCGTCTGGGGGGTGAGATGAGGGTCTAGCAGGGGGTAGGAAATCCAGATGGTCTTTGCAGTGACCCCTCTTGTAGTTTTGGGGTGCAGTGTGGGGGGGGGAGGTTCTGTTGGCTCCTCTTAGAGGGGCGATCCAATCAGGTGACCCCCTCCTGGAGTTTTGTGGGTTCAGTCCCAGGGAGAGTCAGCTGTCCAGCTTGGGGGGAACCTCTTCAATCAGCAGCTTCTCTCTCTCAGTCCATGTCCTCCCTCCTCCAGTCTCCTCGCCCGGCTCTCTCTCCCCTCTCCGGTTCTCCTCTCCCTCCCTCCCCGTCTCCTCTGACGTCACTGACAATTCGCTTTTGTTAATCTCTCCTCCTCGGCGGGATTGGTCGGCCTCCAGAGGAAATCACCCGGGGCGGCCGCGTGGAGGATGCCGGGGCTTGTAGTCAGCGGGCGGGAAGACACGCCTCTTTTCTTTTTTTTCATTCAGCAAACTTTATCGACAGCGCGCGCACGCTTTCATTACTTTTTTATTCATGATCAAAAGTTTTCTTCTTCCTTCATATAAAGTCCGCAGGTGTACAACTTTCATAAATATTTACATCTTTTCGTAAAATGTTACTAAACTATTGAGTTTGTAAAAACGGTATTATTTTCTCGTCACATGCGGTCGGTGTAGATTGTTTGTGAGTTTTCGGTTCTTCGCGTGAAGGATTCCGTAGTTTTTACAGCTGAGGCAGGAGTCACATGAGAGAGGGTAGGCGTGGCCGGATAGCTAGTGACGCGTCACCCCCTTCGAGGCAGGAGTCACGTGAGGAGGGTGGATGTGGCCTCGACAACCAGTTATCAGGCCCCTCCTGCAGGTAGGCGTGGGCAGACTGCCAGTTATGAGGCCACTCCTGGAGGTGGGCGTGGCTAGGCATCCACTTTTGAGGCCCTTCCAGGAGGAGGGCGTGGGTACACAGCCGGTTATGAGGCCCCTCCTGTAGGTGGGCGTGGCTATACAGCCAGTTTTGAGGCTCTTGCAGCAGGAGGGCGTGGGTACACAACCAGTAGTGAGGCTCCTCCTGTAGGTGGGCGTGGCTATACGGGCGGTTGTGAGGCCCCTCCTCTGGATGGGCGTGACTAGACAGCCAGTTTTGAGGCCCTTCCAGGAGGAAGGCGTGGGTACACAACCAGTTGTGAGGCTCCTCCTGTAGGTGGGCGTGGCTATACAGCCAGTTTTGAGGCTCTTGCAGCAGGAGGGCGTGGGTACACAACCAGTAGTGAGGCTCCTCCTGTAGGTGGGCGTGGCTATACGGGCGGTTGTGAGGCCCCATCCCTCTGGATGGGCGTGACTAGACAGCCAGTTTTGAGGCCCTTCCAGGAGGAAGGCGTGGGTACACAACCAGTTGTGAGGCTCCTCCTGGAGGTGGGCGTGGCTAGACAGCCAGTTATGAGTCCCTCCCTGAGGCTAGAGCCACGTGAGGAGGGTGGGTGTGGCCAGATAACCAGCTCTGAGCCTCCTTCTGGAAGGTGGGCGTGGCCAAACAGCCAGTTCTGAGCCCCCTCTCAGGGGGTGTGGTTAGGGTCAGCTATGGTGGGGGAGGGGGCACAAGCATGGTCAGGCTTTTGAAGGACTGTCCCTTGAAGGAAATGTACAGCCCAGTGACCGACGTGGGCGAGTCGCGTCGCGTGGGCGTTCGCTAATGACGCCCCAAATGCGGCGAGCAGACACAATTTTTTATTTCACGCACGCCAAAATGCGTCAAAACATGCGATTAAAAAAAATGCGCAAAGCTCCACCCCTCCCCCCGAAAAAAATATGCGAGCGACCTTGACGCGTTTGTCACACGTATGGCGGCCTATTGAAATGAGTGAGCAGCCCAAATGCGTGTTACACGGAAACGCACGCAAAGCGCTAGGTGCGACTTGTCTTTGACAATGTTTTTCTGTTCTATTTTATTCCTTTATTTTCTATTCTATTCTTTTATATTCTGTTCAGTTCTATTCTATTCGAAATTGGAATTCCGGAAGAAGGCTATATTCTTTCTGTTCTATTCTATTCTCTATTTTATTCTGTTTTCTTCTTTTCGAATTTCAGAAGGCGCCTGTATTCTATTCTATTTTTTTATTCTATTCTTTTCTGTTTTATTCTATTCTTTTATTTTCTGTTCTGTTTTACTTCTTTTTGAAATTTGAATTTCAGAAGACGGCTATATTCTATTTTTTTCTACTTTATACTATTCAAATATACTCTATTTTTTTTCTATTCTATTCCTTTATTTTCTATTCTGTTCGTTTCTATTCATTCAGTTTTATTCTATTCTTTTATAAATTAAAATTCCGGAAGATGGCTATATTCTTTCTATTCTATACTATTATTTTCTATTCTTCTATGTTATTCTGTCTTATTCTTTTCAAAATTCAAATTTCAGAAGGCTGCTATATTCTTTTTTTATTCTATTCATTTCTTTTATATTCTATGCTGTTCTTGGAACAGTACAAATCCCCTCAATCCCCCCTCCTAGCATCAATCCCCTTCCTTCAATCCCCCAATCTCCCTCCTAGTACAAATCCCCTCAACCCCCCCTCCTAGCATCAATCCTCTTCCTTCAATCCCCCAATCTCCCTCCTAGTACAAATCCCCTCAGTCCCCCCCCTCCTAGCATCAATCCTCTTCCTTCAATCCCCCCCCCCAAATCCCCCTCCTAGTACAAATCCCCTCAACCCCCCCCCCCTCCTCCTAGCATCAATCCTCTTCCTTCAATCCCTCCCATCCCCCTTCCTAGTACAAATCCCCTCAACCCCCCCCCCCTCCCCACTAGCATCAATCCCCTTCCTTCAATCCCCCCAATCCACCTCCTAGTACAAATCCCCTCAATCTCCCCTCCTAGCATCAATCCTCCTCCTTCAATACCCCCCAATCCCCCTCCTAGTACAAATCCCCTCAATCCCCCCTCCTAGCATCCCCTCAATCCCCCCCTCCTAGCATCAATCCTCTTCCTTCAATCCCCCCCCCCAATCCTCCTTCCTAGTAAAAATCCCCTCAATCCCCCCCTCCTAGCATCAATCCTCTTCCTGCAATCCCCCCCTAGTACAAATCCCCTCAATCCCCCCCTCCTAGCATCAAGCCCCTTCCTTCAATCCCCCCAATCCACCTCCTAGTACAAATCCCCTCAATCTCCCCTCCTAGCATCAATCCTCCTCCTTCAATACCCCCCAATCCCCCTCCTAGCATCCC